GTTTTTCAGCTGGAAGACGTTAACAGTTAGTGGTTGGTGATATGCTGCTATTTTGGTGTTCCTGGTTTGAGTACGGGTTCATTAAACTTGATTTGATCACAATAGGAAAATTTTGCTTTCTTTTAGTCATGTACTTGGTAGCATAGTTGATTGCGTCAATGTCAACCCCAGCACGTACGTGGCACAAAATTAAACCATGCGTTGCGTGATGCGCAGAAAATATGTGCACTAACAAAAGTAGGCACCGCCCTTAATTGGTTTTACGTTCTCGGTTATAAAACTCTCCGGACGGGCTCTAACCAATCAGTGCGGACATATTGCGTTCTCAACCAATCAGATTCACAGCCTAAGCCGACGTGAATTGAATCACGTGACTTTTCCCGCGCTTTCCACCGGTTGCATGCTGTCCCATTGAGCATTGACGGGTTTACCATACATTCAATCAGTGCTTGTCAGCAATAAATATAGTTGCTGTTGGCTGTACAAAACTACTTTAAAATCACATGAAGGCTCAATAATAATTTACTAAGAAGTACGAAAACTAAGAAATACAGGGAAAGATTAAAACGGATTATGTATGAGAGATATATACACTTGAAAACTTGAAACATGCTTTACAATGCGACATATGTCAAGACCCATCAATGATGTAGATTTTGAAATACTCTATAACCAAGGTCGGATTTAGCAGGGGGGGATGGGGGGTAGGGTGTCAAGGGGCCGGTGGCCCCCACTTTTCTTTTGTTGTAGAAAAAAAGTCTTTTTTCATTTGCTTTTTTTTTGGGGGGGGGGGACTTGTACTCTGTTAGAATTTCTTTCCCCCCCTCTCTGAATTTCCTGGATCTGCCCCTGATAGCAAGGGCAAGTCTACTTAAATCAAGTAAAACCAAGTTATGTCATACCCTGTTGATGACCGCCCTGCAAGGGAAGATCAGCAGTGGAAAGCTAAGCAGAAGTGTGAGCGCTAAAGCCACTCGTCCAACATTAACAAGAATGTCATCATGTCGATAATTCCTTGTGATGTCTTGGTCAATGTACTGTCTGAACTGTGGAAAATATGAGAGGGACTTTAGTACTGTGGTTCTATTTGAACAGCCTGTGGCAAGATTCTGTGACTGTTGAAAGAAAATTTGAGTTTCTATGAAATTCGCTTCGTATCCGGAGAGATTTGTTTTTACTGCCCAGCCAACACAATCGAATGTCACGCGAGTGCACTCATTTTTGAAAAAAGAAGGAAAAAAAAAACAACTGAAGTCGCTTGAGGGGTGAGTACTGCAATTGAGTATAATTTACCAAGGCATTTTCACTTGAGTGTCCAAAGTAATGCACATTCGATTTGCATTTGCATTACTGTGCTATTCGATTGTCATCCAATCAGAAGTAAAACCCAAACCAATCACATGTTTTGCCACGCATTGCACTCAGGTTACATGTTTGGCTAGAGAGATAACTTTGGTTTTTTTGGTTTTATTGAAAACCGCTTGTACATGCAACGACCAATTATTACTAACATAAATCCCTACAGAACTACATCATCAGCATACAATTTTTCTTGGGAGGTCTCTCCCGATGTTGACGATAGAGACATTTGGGAACTAGGGTTTTGTATTTAACTCATTCTTTCAGTCCTCATGTACAATTTCTTGTTTTCAGTCCATAGCCAGTCTGCCTTACCTGAAAAAATCCAAAGAAACTAACAAAAAGGTTTAGAACATATGTTATTGCCATTGCTGTGTAGAGAATGATCCTCTTGTTGGCTCGAGTCTGATGTTGCAACTCCCCATGCATTGGTAAGATATTAAAATGACATGAGAAAGTGAGGCCAGATATGGCAATAGCTGTGAGGAGACCGCCAAAATCTTGAGGCCACCACTGCACTGGGTTTGAAGGGTTATCCACTGGACCTCCAATGTCATTTTTGATTGATTTGAAAATCACAACTCCAGAGAGAAAAACTACACACATGACACTAAAACAAAGAAAAAAGTTCATCTGTTAAGAGCTGGTTCTAAGTTTCTAGGTTGAAAAGATTTAGTAAACTGTTGTTAAGCCTTGTGCCTTATCATGCCAGTTGATTAGTTCTACTAGTATGAGGCGACTAGGCTCACAGTACATTTACACACTAGGGTTAAGAGAAACACTGAGGGAGTAGTATCCCCTCCAAAACACAATAACTCCAGCCTTGGCTCAATCCGCACTCTATGCTGGGGTGGATACAGAATTACTCGAGATACAGAGCGCCAAAGGCCCGAACCCCCCTAGATTTGCCCCAGCTATGATAGTAACCACTGTGTCACTAATCAGCACCCACTTTCTCCTCAAAATGCTGATATGTCAATCTTTACTGTTAATTAAGTACAGTATCTCTTACAGGGTTCGAAAAAAACTTGAATTCCAGCTTGCCCTTGGGGCAAGTCTCCCTCAAATTTTGCTTGCCCAGGGCAAGTCTTTTAATTAATGATTGGTTGGTAGGCAACTTGCCTGATTCCTTGCCTACCAGGCCAGTGAGAATGAAAAGTTACTTGCCCAGCAGGAAAATTTAATTGTCCTGGATGACCGGAGGGCACTTTTCTCGAGCCCTGCCTTTGCTAGGAAAATTAGACAAATATCCTCACCTGAGAACTGAAGTGAATCTCAGTGCACTCAAACTCTTAAGTAATGTGATTGGAAAAATGACTATCATCGGAATAGTCAAGATAATGATCTTCTTTGACCAGAATGAGTGAGGTCCACACAACAGGGCTATAATAGGCTCAATCTAAAGAACACAAGAGTTGTACCAACGGTGAAAACCTGTCTTACATATATTTCAGTTAAAGTTAACTTCTATTTGGCAGGAGGGGTTAGCGGCCCAACCCACCATAGCTTATCCTGGTTTTGGGGAATGACGCGACTAGGAGTACCGTCACATGACACTCCACCCTGGATAAATGTTGTGGTTCAATTTTTACTCTTGGCATAATGC